TGAAAGTTTTTCTTTTTTTGTTCCAATCAACCAAGTCAATGAACTATCAAACTAATTTCCGTCTGTCCACAATTAATTGCTTTCGTCAATTGACTCCAGGCACAAAAGTTCTTTTTTTTTTTAATTCAATATCATTTGGTAACAAACGTGCCATTCATAACCAGGATAAATTACGAATTTCCCGGGTCAAAAAATTTAATCTGTTTTACGATTAATGAAAATTTTTAATATTTTTCATTCTATTTAATTTTATTATGTGTATCTATTTTATATTAGAATTTAATCTGTTTTTGCCCGTACTATTCCCAATTCAGACCAATTTCAGATCATTTTTGATGTTACAATAAAATTGTTTTCTATTGTTTCAAGACCAAAATCAGACTTTTTTGTCACAATCATTTAGCTGGTTTTGATTGCATCAAGGTCAAAAACAGACCAAAACGTTCCATAATTTTTAGTCGGTTTTTCATCGCCTGTAGATCAAAAACCGACCTTTTACGAATTTGATAATAATAATATATTTATTTATTATTATTTTATTCATGTCCTCGAAGATCCTCTACAGGGCACGGCTTTTCATTCTCTGAAACTGAAATAGTGACCATTCACTATTTCGTAGTGCAATGTATACCAAACGGTATTCTTCGCACTACCAAATAGTGAATACCGCTCATTAAATGATGCGTGAAAGTATAAAATTTAACATTAATCTTGTCAACATTTTAATCTTGTCTTGATGTATTCACATTGTGTTTATTAACGATAATTAAAAAATTCTAGATTTAGATCCATAATAAAACGATGAGAACTATTTTCTATACGTATGTTAATACAAATTTATTAGTTATCACTGCAACTTTATAATCGACATTCAGTTCATAAAACAAGAGAGCGCATGAATATATTATAAATTAATTTATTTTTTCAAATAAATGCGACTTATAATTTTTAATGAGATACTTTTGAGTTAAAAAAATTATAAGTCACCATCTTAGTCGACTTTTGGCCTTCGAACATTTAGAGTGAAAATTGTAGATCAAAAACAGTATAAGATTTCAGATTGAATTTGAAAACAATACATAAAGTCCACTCAATTATTTTACTAAAAAGTTATTTAGACTTAAAACCGATCAAAAATAATTTGAATAGTAGATCAAATACAGATGAAAATGTTTTTAAAAGTTCAAATACAGGTCAATAAGTTCAAATGCAGATCATTTAGCTTAAAATCAGTTTAAATTTTTTTACCCGGGTTCTTTAGAAACTCAATAAGTAAATTAATTTGTAGGAATAACTTGATAAAAAAAAAATAATCTTAAACCAATAAAATTTATTTGGTCGCATCAAAAATTTTCCACCTTCGAAATTCTTGAACTAAGATCTAATCTCAATATTTCCGGCTGCATTTTTGCTCAATCAGAAACAATAAACTGCATACATAAATTCTAAAAAAGAAATAAAATACTAAAGTACGAAGAAATTGCTTAAAAGTAATTTAGCGACAAAAGAACAGGCTAGTTTCTCGGTCGAAATTATACCGTGCCTCGGTACTTATACATGCCCTCTACTTGATCAATAACGACACAGACTGTCGCTCATATTTAAAAAAAATGAAATTTAAAGTAGAATAAACCGAGCAAAAAATATTAAAAGAAAAAAAAAAATAACAGGAAATAAAATGAACAAAAAAAATAGAGAAAATATTATTATAATAAAGTCTAAGAATGACATGCAACGCACAAGTTGGCTTATGAGTATAAGGGGGATTTTAACACGTAAAAGACGTCCGGGCCTACAGAGAATGCCTTGTCACGCAATGTAAATGAACCCCTCCTTCAATCGCTTTTGCCCTTTCTTATTATTTGACATTATTGTTATTTTTTTTTCTTATACTTCGTGAATAGCGTTTTTATGTCGTTTTTAGTGCTCACGAAAGCCTCGAGATTTGAGCACGATCTTAATCTTAAATTCCACTAATCGTAATCCAAGTGACTTAACTTTTCTATTTTAACTTTTTATTGATTATATTATATGCTTATTTATTGTATATTTTTCTTTTCAAATTCAAAATCTAAAAATTTATTTTTCAAAAAATATGGAATGATTGAATTTAAAATTTAAGGGGGATAGCCACTGTGAGGATCGAAAAAATCGGTGATTTTCGGAAATTTTTTTTACTGGGATAATAAAGGAATTTGGGGATCGGGTTTATTTTGTTTTATAAAGTGTACATTGCAGATTATTCTCCTAAATTTTTATCCAAAAATATCATGTTGTTACAAAGTTATTAGCATTTTTGTGGAGCACCAAAAAAATTTCCCCTTCCCTTATCCGATCTCTAACTCAAAAACGGATTATCTAAAACAAAAAAACGAAAGAGCGTTGTAATCTGCATGTGTGTGGTTATCGTTGCACGTAGGCGATTTTGAAAATTTGGATTTAAAAAAAAATGGCGACATATTAAAAATTTTTTCGTTTTTTTTCCTCATTTTTTTGGATTCAAACAGCCCTAAAAAATCTTAAAAATCAAAATTTCCAAAATCCCCTACGTGCAACTATAGCCACTGAATGGACGAATACGGGGAAAAAAAAAGTTGCAAATCGGTTCATATTTATACGAATTACAGTTCTCATCAGTTCGAAAAAAGTAGTTTCGAGAAAAACGCGTTTTTGTCAGAGTGCCGCGCGTGTAAAGTCATTTGACGCGCTGTCACAAAAATGACTATAACTCGGAAAATATTCGGAATTTTGATACCAAACTCTAGATACATATTTTTGAATCCACAGTGGCCATCCCCCTTAACTTGATTAAGTCAATCACTTTACTTACACTTCAACCTATTGTTAGCTTCTATTTTTTGTCTCTAACAAATTCAATTTTGTTGAAGTTCAAAATTTTCATACAAATTTTTTTTTTTACACTATGTCCAAAATTTTTTTACTCTACAAAAAAATTTTATTCACTTTTATTGTCATATGTAATAAAAAAATTCCTCCTTTTTCCGTGATTGTTATGTTATCGCTTTTTTCCCACCAACAACGTGATGTCAAACCAAAATTCGGTGAAAGTTACGTTGCGAAGACAAGCAAAAGTAAAACTTTAATGAAGCTTTACAAAAAGTTGACACATTTCCCACATAAACTTTCGTTTTTTATCCCGCGAAAAACGTCAAAAGTTAGAATAAAACTTTTATCTATTAAAAAAAAAAAAAAAAATTGAAGAATAAAAATCCAAAATTGAACTCCGAGCTTGTGATTCATCATGCCTCTTAATTGAGATGTAATTAATCGAAACTTTGGTGAGATAAATAGACACCACAGCAACAATAGTAATAATATTGATAGAATATTGGGCGATTATTATACGCGATCGATATGACCAGAGGTCATTGGATGAATCGGATGGTCGATCAGCTCGGCCGCTTATCCAACCGCACGACAATTGACTATGGAAATGGATGGATGGCGGAAGAACAGGATAGGAGCAGAGTAGCTCGATGGGCGCCCGAAAATGAGGATGGATAGCACTGAAAGAGAGAATGAGATAGAGGTATATGGGAATGTCTGGTTAAGCTATCATCGGTCTTGCTGGTTGCTCAAACTCTGCTCCAGAGCTCCTTGCCTTCCCTTTTCTACCCGCCTCGGGCGATCCAATTAACCTATCATTAATAAGAGATTCACATCCAGTCTCCCGGCCGCTCGCTACCTAAATGATGGTCATAATTACTGGGAGAATGATTACTGCTTTTATCGATGCGTTTATTTAATATTTACCGTGTAATGTGAAACGTCACTTCTGCTAGCTGAAGCACTTACCTATATTTCGCTCCACGTCAATGTACCGTGAAATAGGTCAGAATATTAGTTGGTATAAATTTTTGATAGTGTATGGATGCATTAATAAGAAGGTTTTATAACTATTTCTTGCTGTATAGGTTATTAGGTTAATGAGATGAGATTTTTATTCATAATTTTAGAAATAAAAATTGTTATTATTGATGATAAATGATAGCGTTTTATGAACACACACTGAGAGACAATTTTATTTAATAGTAATGGTTAATGAAATTTTATTGCTATTTAATAAAACGTTTATTTGGCTAATTAAGGGGAAGGGGAAGTAAACAAGTAGGTTAGGTTAGGATGTCTAGTTGAAAAATCTTTATACTATTTATTTATTGAGATATTTATCAAAAGATTTTACTGTGAAGATACATATGAATATATTATAATTAATTGATGAATATTAATTTTTTTTTTGAGATTAGATTTGTTTTAATGACTTTTTTTTTTTTATATTCCTTGCTGGTGTAGTCCAGCTGGCCTCTATGAATATCATGTACAGCCAATGTTTGTTCGGCAATGAGCTGAGTCCTCACAGTCGAAGATAATCGAAAATTAACCTGGCGCATAGCGAAAATTATCCGACCATGGTGGGACTTGAACCCATGCCTAGCCAGTACCCGTAGTTCGAAGTCAAGCACGTCAGCCGCTCGGCTACAAGTACTGGTTGTTTTAATGACTTTATATTCGTATAAATGACAGCAAATGAAAGCGACGCTCGTGGCTATTTTAATAAACATATATTAGTACTAGTATACGTTGCGCGCGCAAGCGCGCGTGTGAATGTTGGTATGGAATTATCTATATTTTCATGCTTATGATATATTTGACCAATCACGTTACGAATAGTTTGCTCTTACATGATATATTTTCATATTTTTCGTCTAAATTATAAGAGTGAATTTAAGAAAATTTTATTAAATACTAATAAAATTTTATTCATATGAAATATAATTTTATTAATATTAACTAAGTTTTCTTTTCTAGTCCAAATAAACTTTTTTATTATTATCCTAATATAAAATTGAGATGAAATGTATGTGGCATCAAACTATCCGTAACGTGATTGGTCCAATATATCATAAGCATAAAAATATATGCAAACTCTATAGTTAGGCGCGCGCAAAATTAAATTCTAGTCCCATAATAAAATTGAGATGAAATGTATTAATAATGAGTTCCTGAGTGCTGATACTTATAAGTTGTTAAAGCTTGCTAAAGCCAAAGCTAAAGACATCAATTATAAATATGCTTGGGTTCATAAAGGTATGGTCTACATGAAGAAAAATGATGACTCGTCGAAGATCATAATACGAATTGAAGATGATGTAAATAAAATCGAATAACCATTACTATACCAGCCTACTTGCATGTCCTCCAATCTAAAATTTCTAAGTTTAAATGTAAATAGTTATACTGCACACACAGCTTCCTTTGAACTTCTGGTAACTGAAACCAAGCCTCATATAATTTCAGTGGTTGAGACCTGGTTAAATCCCGAAATATCAGTCTCATTAAATGACTATTCTGCTATTCGTAGGGACAGAGGATTTACCGATGAATCTGGGCGCTATGTCAGAGGTGGTGGAGTTCTCTGTTTTATTCACAAATCACTTAAATCGAAGGTTCTTTTTATTTCTGAGTCAAATCATATAAATCATCCAGAATTCATAATAGCTGATGTTACTCTATCCACAGGATCGCATATGCTTATATCATGTATTTATAGAAGGCCACAAGGAGATTTATTGGACAAGTTCTTTCTTGAATTCGGCAAACTTTACCCTCATTATAATAATGTTTTAATAATGGGTGATTTAAATTGTAATTTACTTAAATCTGACCGAGCCTCAAATCATCTCAAATCCTTCATTGATGACTCTGCTCTATTCTGTGTACCCTTTGGATCAACATTCCACACATTAGAAACTGACTCATGGCTTGATGTCATCATACTTGTTAGCAAAGACAAGCTTGTAAACTTCTCAAAGTCAAAGCCACCCTTTATAGATGGACATGATTTCCTTATCTGTGAGTATAAGCTGGGATCACAAAATCATTACAATAAGGTGGTAAAGTTTAGGGACTTTAGAAACTGTAACCATCAAGCATTGTCACAAACACTAAATGAAAGATTACGATTAACGGATATTGATCCTGAAATGATTGATCTTGATGAACTTGTATATTTCTTTTTGTATCAAGTCACTACATCATTAAATATTTATGCACCGATGTCTGAGAGGAAAATCTGTCGTCCTAAATGTCCTTGGATTACTCGTGAACTGAAACTGGAATTTCATGAACGTGATGCATTATATAAGCGTTACAAAAGAACTGGATGCCAAAATCTATTTTCTTTATATAAAATTAAGAGAAAAGAACTTAAAATCAAGTTAATGAAGGTGCGTAATGATTATCTGAAGAGTTTTCTTGAAAATGAATCAAATGGATCAAATATCTGGACCAAACTGAGACGTGTGGGAATTGTAAAAAGTAAACAGTCATCTCCTCTTGATCACTTTGACGCCGATCAGTTAAACAAATTTTATGCTAATATTTTAAAAAAACATCTGTCTTGTAGTCGAGACTTTATTCTTAATCTTCCGCATCTATATTCGAAGAAAGTAAATTTTGAATTTAATTGGTCCAAAATAGATATTGTTGACGTCACGAAAAATCTCCAGTTGACATTACAAAAATCGAGTGGTAAAAACCCAGATAGACTTGATCTAAAATGGCTGAAAGATCATATACCACAAGTGTCTCTTTTTCTAAATTTAATCTTCAATAGGTCGTTAGAAACTGGATCATTTCCGGAAGCATGGAAGTCAGTATACATCGTACCATTAAACAAAGTGACACCACCACTTTCTTTATCTGATACGAGACCCATAGCTAATCTATCTCATATGGCGAAAGTCTTTGAGCGAATTATAGCTAACCAAGTAGTTACTTATTTGGAATCAAACAATCTGCTTGATGATCACCAATCTGGCTTCCGCAAATATCACAGTACCCAAGCAGCGCTAATAAAGCTTACTGATGAGATTCGTTCAGCGATTGATCGAGATGACCTGACATACCTCATTTTATTCGATTTTACAAAGGCTTTTGATCAATTAAATCTTCAAGTTTTATTCATTACCATGTTTGAAATGGGTTTTTCATTAGACTCTATCTTATGGTTCCACTCTTATCTCACAGGAAGATCACAAGCAGTCATCAACGCAGAAAATTTGTCATCTGAATTCATTACTACTACGTCGGGTGTGCCTCAAGGGTCTGTTTTGGGACCAATATTATTTCTTATAGTCATAAATGGTGTGGTTAAACGGCTAAGTTTTTGCAAACATGGCCTGTTTGCTGACGACAAATGGGCTTACCTGCATTTCAAGATCTCCAAACTAGATGAAGCAGCTCACCGTCTTACTACTGATGCTCAAGCGGTAGCAGACTGGTCGCGTGATATGGGTTTCGAAATTAATTATGGAAAGACTAAGGTGATGATTTTAGGAAGCAACCGGAAGTTAAAATCTCTTGCAAACATTGTACTTCCGCAAATTATTATTGATGGAAATCTAATACCGTATGTAAACACAACTAAGCATCTTGGGGTTCATCTATCTGCAAATCTTTCCTGGGATTTTCATATTTCGCAGGTATCTCGAAAAATCTTTGCCTCATTAAATAGCCTAAAGCGCAGGAAAAATATCCTGTCTCCTTCCTTGCGCAAGTTAATTGTGTCTGCCACGATATTGCCTATTATCGACTATTGTTCAGTTGTGCTGGTAGATTTATCTAAGAGACTTGAAAGCAAATTACAGAGATCGGTAAATAGTACCATTCGGTTCATTTATAGTTTGAGACGTGATGAACATATCACACCATATCGACGTTCACTAAATTGGCTGAATATAAAGTCACGAAGACTGTATTATCTGGCTTGTTTATTCTTCAAATTAATAACGATGGGTGAACCGAAGTTTCTACGTAGATTATTCACAGAAGAAGATCCTGAAATTAGGCGATCAGATAGGCTGGCAGCTAAGAATAATATTTCCTTCAAGATGCCAAATTTTGCTACTACGACCTATGAGCATTCATTTGTAGTAACAGCTATCCGGTTATGGAAGGACTTACCACCTGAGATTGTAAATGTTCTTAGTTTAGAGACTTTCAAAGTTAAATTGTTCGATTTTCTAATAAGTAATGAATAGTTAAAAATTAGTATGCTGGAAAATAACATAATATTGTGATGTATATAATAATTAGATTTACACTCTTGTCATAATTGCAATTTGTTTTATATATTCTATTAATACCTCAAAATTTATTGTACTTATTTGAACACTATCTTTGTATATAAAATTTGCCATTCGGCTTAACGCCTTGGCATTAAAACCAAATAAATAAATAAATAAATAATTTCACAAGCTTTAACGTCCACCCACGGTCATCTCGTGAAACTTTTACGGGTATAAAAGATCGCAATTTAGCTTGCATACAAATAGGATATTTAATTAAATTATTTAAGCAAAAAATCTATTATTCTGGATCCAAAATAGCAGGAACCAGAGTACAGATAAAATTAATTAATTTCGTAGACGATAATTATTCTTAGTATTACGGGATTTAAATTGAAATTATACAATAAATACGAGAATTAAATAATTCGAGGATTAAAAAATAATAAAAATGTGATCGAAATGTGAAAGTAAGTCGGTAGTTGGTAGACGGTACGTTGAAATCAACAAAAAAGTATTAATTTTCGGCGTGTGAAAAATAAAAACCGCAAACAGAGGATTTCACCGGGAGAAATGAGATCAAAATGCGGTCCAGGATTATGGCGGAGCGGAGTGTTTGTGGAGAAGAAGGAGAGGGGCTGTGAGACAAAAGGGGTAGGATAATTCCCAGCATCCGGTGAGAAGACCAAAGCTGGGTACAATTAGCACGGGCGATATGTAAAATGAATTATTATCCCGGGTTGGTTTTCGGCGGGCTCACGTCAGTGTGTATATTTGCGCATGTTCATTTGTGTGTGTATGTGTGTGTGTGTGTCTACGAGTCCTACTGATAGAGTGAAAGCGCGAGCTGGTTATTAGTGGGCTCCCGTACCGTGCCATATAGTTTTCATCCTATACCAGGACGATCGCTCGATTCAATTGTACCAAAATATACGCCGGCAATCCAACCATCGAATTGACAGCCACATATAGATATATATATGTATCTTCATTTTTATATTTCGACGCTGACGTATTTAATTTCTGTGAGAAAATAGTCAAAAAAATGATAAATATAAATAGAGAAAAAAATAAAAAACAAACAAATTCATTAATTGATTGATAAATTGAATAAAGAAAAAAAATATATTTATAACTCTTGAACTTTTTTACGACTATTTAATTCAACGAAAATACTGGATCTCTAGAGAAATACTGAACAAGTTTTAGAATTTTCCACACCGATTAAATTTGTCGGGAGGTAAATACGAAAAATTAATAGCCAAGTGCATCTATCGAATAATTTTATATTTTAATATCTATTTTATTTGTCAAATAAATAAATGGAGCTTGGTAAAAAAATTTTTGTACTTCAAAAAAATTAATAAATTATTTAGAACATAAAAATTACGATAAGAATGTCAAGAATTATTATAATTATTAATGAAAATAGCTTGTCTCAATGATTTTTCGGTATTTTTAATCACTATATTCACAGTATGCTTTTAAAATAAATTTAAAAAATAATATTGCGATGATAAAATTATTTACATATAATTTAATGAAAAATGTCACGGTCACAACTTATAGAAGACCCAAACAATTATTAAAAACTCCTCCAAAAACTTTATATAAAAATTATCTATCAGCAAAGAATATATAAAATCGTGAGAAAGCACAAATTTAGGTCACGACCTTTTTGATGATTCTGAATTTAGCTATAAAAATTCCACTTAAAATAAAAGTATTATGCCGGTCAAAAAATTTTTTTATTCTCTTCATTATATAGATGATAAATTGATTATCACCGAAAATTCGGATTACGATTTTTCTGATGGCATAAAATTTAACTACATAAATTCATTTTTTAAATGCAGATGTGCCCATTACAAAATTTTCCTTATTCTCTTAATGATACTGATTGATATTTGATATATTACCACAAAAACATCTACAAAATAAAACAAATAAATAAAGAAATTTTATCTAGAGCGAAATTTAAATCTATTTTAAATTACTTCAAAAACTTATGATAAGTTATCAAAAAAATGAATTATCTTAGGAAATATTTCATGAAACTTTAAAAAGGTACAAAATCTAGTCAAGACCTTGTCAATGATACTAAGTTCAATTAAAAAACTTATTTTATCATTTAAGTACACCGGAGACTAAATGTTTCGTTATTCTGTTATTATTATTTAGATCATTATTACTATTTTATAAATTTATGTACATTAGTTTAATTAAATCATGAAATTATAGAGTTTCAAATAGTGTACCATAAAGTCGGCAAATATGCCCCAAATGATAGCAATAAAATATATAAATAAAATAAACATTTTACTGACTGGAAAATTAACAATTGATCATAATCCATAACTCATAACGAGTAATATAGTTAATGAGCTTACAGATCGAGAATAAATGAAATGAAATCGGAATTCAGTGAATGCATAGTTGAAGTTAATGACAACGCACAGTCGCCGGTCACCAAACGCATACCAGCATCGATTTTCATTATTACTGGGTTCCGTTCCGTCTATCCAACTAAAATTTCTCCTCTATGATTTGTCCCCTCTCATTCCTCATTCTTCATTCCTCGTTCCTCGCTTTTTCTTGTTTCTCGAGTCTGTTACCCAGAATTACCTACGGCTCGTTGAATCTTTAATTTCCGGCAGAAAGCTCCAAAAAGGTGCCATGCCGTAATCATTTTTTTAAATTCGTTTTTATTATTCTCTTCGACTTTAGAATTCCTTTCTTTTTTTTTTTTACATATATATTTTACTGGAAAATAAAAATCACACATTTATAATTAATTAATTAAATATTTTACAATTAAAGAGTTGAATCATAAATTTATATTAATTAAGGTATAAAGTTTATCAAATGAATATTATTATTAATATAATTAAAATGTATAACTTTCAGGAGGAATGCGGTGCAATTCTCCAGGACTTAAGTGATAAAATAAACAACAAACACCAAGAAGTCCACACTCATCCACTTCTATCCATCTTCAAAATGGCCGAAGTTGAGGTTAAACTGCCTCAAGGCAGCGGAGCAACAGCTATTGTAATAAAAACGTCTCTATTACAATTAATATTTATTTTACTAACAACAACACTCATTAATTCTATCTTATTAACGACTTTTAATAACGATAATAATAATATCAATAGTTACTTAACTTCGTGACAGAGAACGTAACAGCCCCCGCTATATATATAAGCGTTGAGATAAATATATATATAAAATCAACGCAACAGGAGGTCCATCCTCTCTATGAAAAGCACTCTTGTCTACGAATGTGTACAACAAAGCTTGAGGAGCAATTTTTAGTATTTATTTAATGTATAAAGTTCACTATTATTTGCTACGTGTGTCTGTCAATTATCGTATGGGTCGAAAGAATATATGTCAACTCGTCGTCACATTACTTTTTTTTCCTTATATTTCAAAAAAACTTTTAATTTATTAATTATCAAAATGATAAAAAACATTTTCCTAAGTTTTTACTACAAACAAAAATTTAAAAATTTAATTCTAAAATATTATTAGAAGTATTAACTTCTAATAATATTATTAATTTAAGAGACAAAATGTCTCTAAATTTTATCGAGTGTAAAAATGAATTTCATGAATAATACGATTATCAGACACTATGAAATATAAATCGACATCATTAAATTTCATTAAACTTCAATACTGAAAGATATTATGAATTATTTGATTATTCAACGTCGTATGATATGAGATTTTAGTAAAAATCACAAAAGTTTATTAAAAATAAAACTTTTATAAAAATATGTCTTTGAAAAAATTTTGAAAATAAAAAAATTACATTTTCTGTTTCACTCCACTAAATTAAAAAAAATTTTTTTTTTCAATTATCAATTTAACTTATCATCACCATATCTTTAATCGAATCCAGATTTACATTGTCAAACAAATTGTCGAATAAAAAAATTTCTTCACTAAATGTGTTGTTCGACACTATAAGGCCTTATGTGAGGCACTATAACTTATAATATTTTTTTTAACAATGATAAGACAATACACCAGACATAAAACATTATGAGATATTATTGATAGTTTTCTCAGACATTTTTGTGACGTTTTCGAAGATGTTCAATATTTTATAATATATGGTTTTGTTTAATATCATTTTAACTTTATAGAGTTCATGATATATTATAAGACATTCACAGACGATTCAATTTATCATAGAACAGACAAATGACTAATTATTAATTAAAATAAAATTATTCGAAATTTATTTACAGTCAAAAAATGAAAAATGTCCTTTAAAATTGTACATACCCGAAATTATCGAAGTTAAATTATGAAAAAATTTCTCAAATGATAGAAAATTAGTGTTTTTTTTTTACGTGACGTCGAGTTGCTAAGACAAATGAACGAATGATAATGTAAAGTTTCTAATGTGTAAACTACTAAATAGATACACGGCTTACTAAAATAATAAATAACTCTTAACCTTAGTAATAAAATAAACAGGGGAGAAAAAGCGTTTAGGCAGCGTTTCTACCAATCGATAAACAAATGAAGGATAATAAAAAATGATTATGTAAGTGACGTGGAAGCGATTGTATGATAAATATGTCAATTTAATCGAACGACTGTTTGATATAAATTGTCAGGTGTACATGTCTACGATAATAGTTGTAAATTTTACTATCGTTAGAAATAGTTGAGGTAAATAATTTTAATAGAACTGTTGACACTCAATACTTAATACTGCCTCACGGTCATTTATTTTATTTAATATCAATTGGTTGATATCAAAACACTTTTTCCTTTTTTCACAAAGTTTCCATAATTTTTTGTCACTTTAAAAAATTGTGGAAATTTTTGCTTTATACAGAAAAATCATTTTTAGTATGTCCAATATTTTTATATTTTTAAATTATGGAGGATTAATGACAATCTAACAATCAAAATGTAACATGTCAAAATTAAACAAACAAAAAACACCC